AAACTCTAGGCAGCAAGAAGAGCTCCTTCTTTTCGAATCTCCGCAGGAAGGCGACAAGCAGCATGAGCAACAGCAGCAGCAGCAGCAGCAGCAGCAAGGCGAAGGTTCTGGGTGTGCTCGGTGCAGGGGCAGGTGCAGCAGGAGCAGCAGGTGCTGCAGCAGGAGCAGCAGCAAAACAGCTGCTGTCTAGAGCAGGCAGAGTCTTTAGCCGCTCTGTGCAGCCAGGCAGCAGCAGCAGCAGCAGCAGCAAGAACAACAACAGCAGCAGCAGCAACATCAGCAGCAGCCTGAAACCACAACCCAGCAGCAGCGACAACAGCCAAAAGGTGCAAGCCAGCAGCAGCAGAAACGATGAAGAAGCAGCACAAGCTGCAGCAGCAGCGGAGACAGCAGCAGCAGCAGCACCTGAAACGTCAGCAGCAGCAGCACCACAAGAGATACCAGCAGCAGCAGCAGAGACACCAGTAACACCAGACACTGCAGCAGCAGCAGAAACAGCAGCAGCAGCAGAAACAGCAGCAGCAGCAGAGCCAGCAGCAGCAGCAGAACCAGCAGCAGCAGCAGAAACAGCAGCAGCAGCAGAAACAGCAGCAGCAGCAGAAACAGCAACACCAGAAGAAGAGATATGCCGTCTAGTGGCTAAGTGGTTGCATTTACCTGTGTCTGCTGCTGCAGCTGCTGCTGCAGCAGCAGCTGCTGCTGAATCGCCATTGGAGTTTATGAGATACAGAGATGCTGCGGGGGCTGCGCAGCTGCAGCACTGTTTTGCTGCTGTCCTCCTGCTGCAGCTGCAGCAGCAGCAACAGCAGCAGCAGCAGCAGCAGCAGCAGCAGCAGCAGCACAGCAGCTGTCTCCGGGGCCTTGAGGTCAGCGGAGACATCAGAGACAATGAAGCCTGGGGGGAGTTTTGTGCTGCAGCAAACGACCGCATTGCGCTGCTGCTGCGAGCTCTACCTTCTAGGCAAATGCTGCAGCCAGCAGCAGCAGCAGCAGCAACAGCAGCAGCAGCAACAGCAGCTGCCACTGAAAATGCGAGTGCTTTGTCAATGGCAAACAACCAGCAGCAGCAGCAGCAGCAGATAGAGTGTGAAGTGCTGCAGCGGCTGCTGCAGGTCCAGGCACGTTTGCTGCTGCTGCGGCAGCGAGCAGAAGAAGTTGCTGCTCCGCTGCTGCCGCTGCGGGTTGATGATGTTGCTGAGAGTGAGAAGGAGACAGCTGCTGCAGCTGCTGCAGCAGAGAGACACAGCACACACCCCATCAGTGCAGCAGCAACAGCAGCAGCAACAGCAGCAGCTGCTGCTGCTGCTACAGTAGTATCAGCAGCAGCCCACGACGCAGCACTATCACCGTCATCATCAGCAGCAGGAGCAGCAGCAGGAGTAGCAGCAGGAGTAGCAGCAGGAACAGCAGCAGCAGCAGCAGCAGCAGCAGAAGCGACGCCTGAGGATGAGCCTTTGCTTCTTGCTGCTCTGTCTCTCATTGAGCTGCTGCTGCTGTCGCAGCAAAGTTTAATTTATTTGTCTTTGGGGGGCCCCGTGATAGAGCTGCTGGCTCAGGCCCCTGATCTGCTGCTGACGGACTGGCGCTGCAGCAGACTAGCAGCAGCACAGCGACGCATACTCCGCCTCCTAGCTGACTCTCCTGCCTTTCACCAGCAGCAGCAGCAGCAGCAGCAGCAGCAGCAGCAGCAGCAGCAGCAGCACTGGCTGCTGCTCCCCGCTCTTGAGGTGCTGGAGCTCAACCGCCCCCACAGCGGCTCTGCTCTCTCGCGGCTGCTGACAGCAACAGTAGAGGATGTTGCCTTCAGCTGCAGCAGCTGCTGCAGCAGCAGCTGCCGCTGCAACCGCAGCAAGAGCAGCAGCAGCAGCAGCAGAAGCAGCAGCAGAAGCATCAGCGATGAACGCTCCAAGGAAGATAGCCGCTCTCCTACTGGGCGCTCAGCAGCAGCAGCAGCAGCAGGAAGACCAGGAGCAGCAGCAGGAGCAGCAGCAGCAGCAGCAGCAGAACTAAGACAGAGGGGGAGCCTCAGCCAGGTCCCTGATGAAGACGAGCAGCACCAAATACCCAGAGCTGCAGATACACCCCAATGGGCCTGGCACTACAGGCTCGCCAGGGGGCAGCTGCACAGCACAGACACAGATATCTCAGAGAACCAGCAGCAGCAGCAGCAGCAGCAGCAGCAGCAGCAGCAGCAGAAGCATGAGGAGAAGGAGCAAGAGGAGGTGGAGGAACTGCAAAGGCAGCAGCAGAAGGAGGAGCAGCAGATACAGCAGCAGCAGCATATACAGCAGCAGCAGCAGATGCAGCAGCAGCAGCAGATGCAGCAGCAGCAGCCGTTACAGCAGCAGCAGCAGGTAGAGCAGCAGCAGAACCTGCAGCTATGCATGCCGTCCTCTAGGATATCAGTTGGTGAGCTTGCTGCAGCAGCATCAAGAGTAGCAGCAGCAGCAGCAACAGGAGGTATTGAGGGGGGAGCCATCCGCTGCTTTGCTGCTGCTGCTGCTCTTCGTCCGGCTGTCTTGGCGGCTTTTCTCTGTCACCCAGACGAGCTGCAGCAGCTGCTAGAACTCATCACCATCCTTTCTCTCCCTAAGCAGCAGCAGCAGCAGCAGCAGCAGGAGCAGCAGCAACAGCTGCAGCAGCAACAGCTGCAGCAGCTGCAGCAGCAGCAGCAGGAGCAGCAGCAGCAGCAGCAGTTGCTGCAGCCGCAGCAGCAGTTGCAGCAGCAGCAGCAGCAGGAGCAGCAGCAGCAGCAGCAGCAAGGGTGGGGTAAGGTGCTGAAGTCTGTATATATTTGTAATACTATGTCTGGGCGTTTTCATGTGCTTCGCAACTGCAGCAGGCGTGCTGCTGCTGCTGCTGCTGCAGCAGCTTCTGCAGCTGCTGCATACGCTGCTGATGAGGCCTGGAGGAAGCAGCTGTCAATGCTTAAAGGTGCAGCAGATGCAGCAGCATCAGCAGCAGGAGCAGCAGCAGCAGCAGCAGCAGGGATACCAAATGCGGCCCCTGCCTACGCAGCAGCAGCAGAAGCAGCAGCAGGAGCAGCAGGTACAATTGCTGCTGTATCTGAGGCATCAGCAGCAGCAGGATGTGTAGCAGCAGAAGCAGCAGCAGCAGAAGCACAAGCAAGACAGAGTGAAGCAGCAGCAGCAGCAGCAGCAGCAGCAGCAGCAAACGAGCTTCAAGCAACAGAGAGACAACCCTATATGTCTATCAGCAGCAGGAGATACAAAGACACCCTGCTGCAGCTGCAGCCGCAGCTGCTGCCGTCTGTGCTGCGGCTGCACCTGAAGCGCTGCAGCTTGCTGCTGGTGCTGCTGATCTGTCCCTCACTGCAGCAGCTGCTGCTGCAGCAGACAACTGTTAATATCAATGCTTTGCTGCTGTCACTGGGCTGCTGCAGCAGCTCTCTGCGTCAGCTGTATGTACACCGCGTGGGGGGGAGCCTGCATCACCCCACAGAGCAGCAGGAGACAGAGGAGCAGCAACTGTCTCCTCAGCAGCAGCAGCAGCAGCAGCAGCAGCACAATACAATGCAGCAGCAGCAGGAAACAACTCAACCTGCTGCTGATCCTGTTGCTGCTGCTGCTGCTGCAGCAGCAGCAGCAGGGATAATCCCTCCTCCTTCGTTTGGGGGGCTGGAGAGCATCACAGTGCCAGGGGGTGGCGAGCAGCAGCAGCAGCAGCAGCAGCAGCAGTTGCAGCAGCAGCTGCAGCAGCAGCTGCAGCACATGCAGCAGCTAGGTCCGCTGGTGCTGCCGCAGCTGCAGCAGTACGGGGGCACAGCTCGTGCGCTTTGTGCTGCAGCAGGAGGGTTGCTGCTGCCGGCTCTGAAGCGGCTGTGTCTTACTGATGTTTCTTACTATTTATATAAATATCAGCAGCAGCAGCAGAGGAAAGAGCTGCAGCAGCAGAAGCAGCTGCTGCAGCAGCAGATACAGGAAGATGAGCAGCAAGGACGGCCGCTGTATGCTACCGATTGGTCTGTAATGCACCGCCGCATTTATGTCTACGACTGCAGCAGCAGCAGCAGCAGCAGCAGCAGCAGCTGCAGCAGCAACAAGAGAATATCCAGCAGAAGAGAGAGAGAAGGAGAGCTGCTGATGGAGTTCCTATCGAAGCATATACAGCAGCTAGAGGTGTTGAGTGTAGATGGGCCAATACCATTCCCCTTTTGTTCTCGTGCTGCTGTTGCTGCTGCTACTGCTGCTACTTCTGCTGCTACTCCTGTTGCTGCTGCAGCAAGAGCTGCTGCTGCTTACAAACTCCAGCACCTAGGCATCGGCCGGCTGCAGCACGGGCGCCGCAGCTTCAGAAGCAAAAGAAAAGGAGACAGTTGGATGGGGAGACACCGCAGCAGCAGCAGCAGCAGCAGGAGCAGCAGCAGCGGCAGCGAGAGCAGCAGCAGCAGCAGCAGCAGCAGCGATGAGAGCGACATGGATACAAGCAGCAGAAACAACGGGGGTGGCTACGACACGGAAACAGAGACAGCAGCAGCAGAGGGGGGTTCAGCAGCAGCAGCAGCAGCAGCAGCAGCAGCACCAGAGCCCTTCACTGTCTCCTGTCTCGGTTCTTCTCTGCTGCTGCCTTCTCTCGTCTCTCTTGCTGTTGGTGGTGGGGTGTCTATACACTGCATGCGCCGGCTGCTGCCTGCCTCAAGGATAAAGTTTTTGTTTGTGGGTGCTATTGCTGCTGATGCTGATGTTATAGACTGCTGCAGGATGACAGCAGCAGCAGCAACAACAGCAACAGCAGCAGCAGCAGCAGAAGGAGCACCATCACAGACACAAATACCAGCAGCAGCACCACCAATAGGAGACACAGCCATCAACTCAAAGACACTGCAGCAGCTGCTGCAGGCTGCATGCGAGCTGCAGGTCTTCGCGCTGCAGCAGCTGCCCCCCAATATACATCTGCATGTATTGGAGGCTAGGCTGAGGATACTAGGGTTTATAAGAACAGACAGGCGTCTTGCTGCTGCTCTCATGCAGCAGCAGCAGCAGCTGCAGCACCAGCACCAGCAGCGGATGCAGCAGCAGCAGCACAAGCAACAGCAGCAGCAGCAGCAGCAGCAGCAGCAGCAGCANTGCCCTCACCATGTGGGGCCGCACCATACCCGGACCCCAACCATTTGTAGAGATGGATCCTTTGCTGCTGAAGCAGCAGCTGCAGCAGCAGCAGCAGCAGCAGCAGCAGCAACAGCTGCAGCTGCAACAGCTGCAACAGCTGCAGCAGCAACAGCTGCAGCAGCAACAGCAACTACAGCAGCAACAGCAGCAACAGCTACAGCAGGAGAGTCAGGCGGTAGGAAACGGCACGGAGAGTACTGCTCCTGCTGCTGCTGCTGCTGCTGCTGCTGCTGCTGCTGCTGCTGCTGCTGGCGAATTACCAGCAAGACCGAAGGTGTCTCGTGAATCGATAGCAGCA